ATTGATGATTGTATGAAAGTATTTCAACTTAGAGCCTGGAAATATGAAGATGTGATTAAATAGATTTCATTTAATAAATTATCTGATGCTAAAGAAACTAGTGAAGGCGGATTTGGTTCTGTATATTCAGCAACCTGGTTGGATGGTATACAGAAAGTTGAAAAAATTAATAACAGTAATAGTTATAATATCTACCAAAGAACGTGTAAACCAAGATGTTGGCCAGTTCTAAGGAAAACAATGACTTTTTAAAAGAAGTAAGTTAATTTATTGCTTTAATAGTGGACGATTGAAAATAAAGATATTGATGATTGCATGAAAGTATTCCAACTTAGAGCCTAGAAATATGAAGATGCGATTGAATGAATTCCATTTAATAAATTATCTGATGCTAAAGAAATTAGTAAAGGCAGATTTGGTTTGGATAGTATACGAAAAGTTAAAAAAATTGATAACAGCAATAGTTATAATATTTACCAGAGAACACGTAAACCAAGACATTGGCCAGTTCTAAGGAAAACGATGACTTTTTTAAAGAAGTTAATTTATTGCTTTAATAGTGGATAATTGGAAATAAAGGTATTGATTATTGTATAAAAGTATTCCAACTTAGAGCCTAGAAATATGAAGATGCGATTTGAATGGATTCTATTTAATAAATTATCTGATACTAAAGAAATCAGTAAAGGCAGATTTGGTTCTGGATAGTATATAGAAAGTTGAAAAATTGATAACAGTAATAGTTATAATATCTACTGAAGAATGCGTGAACCATCTAGCATTGTAGCATTCAAGACATTGGCCAGTTCTGAGGAAAACAATGACTTTTTAAAAGAAGTAAGTTAATTTATTGCTTTAATAATTTATCTAATAGCTTATTTATTATTTAAACTTTAAGTTTAAAAGTTTTATAACATGTAAATTAAATTTTAGTAAGCTTGCAATATATGGAATAACCCAAAATACAGAAACAAATGATCTTTCAGTATGCTGATAATTGAAGTCTTTATAATTATTTAAAAAAAAAATTTATTAGTCTTACATAGCAAACTAAATTACAAATACTTTATGATACTACGTGGGAGTTCATAGAATTTATGAAGATGCAGGGTACATCTATGCTGATTTCCATAGTGGTAACATTGTACAAGATCAACACACTAATGAAAATGCACAATTCTATATCGCAGATCTGGGATTGTCTAGAAAAGTAGATAAGGAAGTTTCAACTGGCGAAATTTATGGAGTTATGCTCTACGTTGCTCCTAAAGTTTTATCAAACAATAAGCCATTTACAAAGGCAGCAGATATTTATGGGTTTGGTATAATTATAGCAGAAATGTTAATTGGTCAAAGACCCTTTAATGAACATGAATTTAATTTTAAAACTTGCAGTAGAAATTTGCAATACATCTTGACTAATAGTTGTATTTTAATATTAGGATCTAAATCTAAAAAATTTGTTATACTGTTTATTATGCTAATATATTATACTAATGCTCTTATTTTATTTATTTTATGTATTCTAAATATTATATTGTTATAGAGCAAACATTAGTAACTTCGGGTTATGAGTGTCGCCAAAAGAAAACCTGACAATTTAAATATAGACTATATTTAAATTGTCAGGTTTTCTTTTGGCAATACTCATATACAGTATATAAGTATTATTACCAGTAATGTATTATTGTTTTATTAATTATATAGGCTAAAGGTTGTACTGTATTTCTAAAGTTATGATAATGAAATAAAATTGAATTCTTTTAAAAGATAATAAATAAAAAACAAAGATAGTTTTGCTAATAATTTATTTACGTATTAACTCTTTAATGAGTTGGGTATTTAATAACAAATATTATATCTATCTGTATCTGTTTTCTAATCTTATATAATAAATTCTTTGTATGTAATTATTGGTTTGTAAGCTTAGCGAAGTTTTCTTTGTTTTCTAATATTAAAAAATTATGTAATTTGATTGGCCAATTATCATGGGCAATCACAGATAGCATAATAATCTACATTATACATATTGTTTACTTGTTTACTTTTTTGACCAATTAAAACAAATATTCACCATGCTAATATAGTATAATTATAGTAGATAGATAAATTTAAAACAAATGTAGTATGAAAGTTTAGTTGGTATGTTCAAAATGAATATAGCACAAGATTTAGATAGATTTAGAACATAATATAAGTTTAGTATATTTGTGATGTAGTATAAGAGTTTAGAAATTTTGAATATAGTATAAAAGCTTAATATTCTTAATATTGTAATTTTATAGTAGTTAGTACTAGGTTCTTAATATTGTATTATAGTACTATAAGGGCCGTGACAGATATTACATAATATTCTAGGAGGGTGTCAGCCAGATGTCTTACATTACATATTTTTTTTTTTTTTTTTTTAGTAATGCGTACTGAAGACAGGCCAGGCTTGTCAAGGCCCACCTGACACCTTTTAATCAGACAATAGGCCGGCTTTCCCAGTAGGACGCCCAACCCAGTTACCTTACTGATGTTGGCCACAATATCGTCATACGTCAAGGCGCAATGTAGATATCGTATAATCCAGGCCTCAGCTACCCCTTTTGCTAGGGTACATGTTCCACTCATGTATTCACCCAGACTTTGGTAACTTTACGCCATAGCTTGACCCATGCACTTGGGGTCAGGGCTAACTATTGAACCTCTGCAACTAACTAGTACCAGTACTAATCTAGTATATATATTGCTATATATCCCGGGTCCCTCCCCCCGTGGTGTTGCAGTTCCCAGATCTACACCTTTCTAATTAGTCGCCTATTACCTACTACTTGCCCTTATTAGGTTCATGGCAAACCCTGGTACCCGCATTCAGACCGTTTTCTTACCCGGATTCTTTATTAGTCTCTCCCTTACTTCCAGCCGGCAACCCGGAGAGGTCGGTCTGCCCAGGCTTAGGTGCCTGAAGGACGCCCTCCCCTTGGTTCATACTTTCGGAGCATATGTCCTTTTCCTCCGGTGCGACAACCCGGCGGTTCAGCTGGTGAGATCGATATAGATTTGTATATTATTACTATACTATTAATAAATACTATATACTACTATATACTGTAGTAATAATACACAAATCTATATCAATCTTATGATTCTATAATTGGAATTTTATGATTTTGGGCTTGTTGAAATCCTCTATTTGAGAGGATCATTTTGGTAGTTAAATTATCTAAATTGGACTAGTATATCAAAAATTATTTATTATTAAATATTATATTAAATATAATAAATAACTTTTGATCTATCAGTCCAATTTTGATGATTTAACTACCAAACTGATCCTCTCAAAGAGAGGATTCTAATAAGCCCAAAATCATAAAATTCCAATCACGGGAGCATAAGATCGATATAGATTTGTGTATTATTACTACAGTATATAGTAGTATTAATAATATAGTATAGTAATAATACACAAATCTATACTGATTTTATGATCCCGTAATTGGAATTTTATGATTTTGGGCTTGTTGGAATCCTCTCTTTGAGAGGATCAGTTTGGTAGTTAAATCATCAAATTGGACCAGTAGATCAAAAGTTATTAACTAATAAAATTTCATATATAGTACAGTATATAGTATATAAATAATATGTTGCATTAGCCAATTAGAATAAAGGATATATAGTAACCTGACTAAGCAAGAAACCCCCCAGGAAATCAGCTGATTTCTGGTGGCTCCCTTAGAATCAGGCCCTGGCATAGAACCCCCAATAACGGCAGCAGGTGGCTTGAAATACAGGTCTATGGATAGTAGCAGCAACTGGCTTGAGATATGAATTAGAATGGGCACGATATAGTTATTCAGAGTCGATCGGAAGGTTGAAAAGAAAATCAAACATTAAGGCGAAGCTTTACAACAGGGATATACAAATGTTGTATTTGTTATACAATTTTTATACTTACCTGACATGGGTTATAATAGTGTATTTTCTTTTTCTTTTTCTTTCTTTGGGTATGTCTATCAGGACTATCCTATTTTTTTTTTTTTTGCTTTTTTGTCTTTTTCCTATTATGTTAGAATACTATTTAGGATTTTTTTTTGGTTATGTCTTTTTTTCTCTTTTTTTTTTTGTTTTTCTCTTTCTTTTTCTAAATATAGTTTTTTTTTTCGTAAATATGGCATATTTTTTTCTTATAAAAAAGTAAGAGATTAACTATTCTGCCCGGATCTAGATGGAAAAAGTTTTAAAGAAGGAATAGGTAGTCTTGATAGGCCAGCAGAAATCTTCTGGTGAAGTTTTATTTTTTTCAAGTACAAAAGTAAATATTACAAAGAAGAATTCTGCTTATAGCAGATCGCATATAAGTAATTTGGACTTTAGTCACAAAGAGCCAGGTGAGCTAATACTTGTAATTTAGGCATCATAAAAACTTGATCTTTAAAAACTCATTTTTTAAAAATTTGTAATATTTCTTAGTATAATATTTTCAAGCCTAATAAAGTAAAGGCAAGATTGCCAAATTGTTTCAAAAAAAAAATCTATTTTGTGATTCTGTAAGTGGATTTTAATAATTTTGGATTTGTTAGAATCTTCTCTTTTAAAAAATCATTTTGGTAGTTAAATCATCCAAATTGGTCCAATAGATCAAAAGTTATATAAATTTGAAAATTTTTATTAATTAATACTATTAAAATTTTTATGCAATTTGATTGGCTAATAAAGTATCAGATGTGGGTAAGTGGGTAGAAATTTTAAAATTTATTAATAAAAAATATTACGTAATTTCTGGAAGCTCCCTAAGCTTCTGTTGGAGCAGAAGTGGTGGTAGAAAAAAGCGATTTGGAAGGACCTGTTTGATTCCACTATGAAAAGATTTATAGTAGCTTGGATTATTACACTTTATAACTTGAGTCATATAACAACAAGTTATTACATGTTTTTCTATCCAAGCTGCTGATTTTTTATTTGGGTAGTAGGATTCTTTGGAAGGTTCTATATACTTAACAAGTACCGGATAACTATTAATAATTGTATTCTCCCACAGATTTTAAAATATTTTTGGCTGCTTTAAAGTTATGTTTTTCCAATTCTTCATCACTTGTCTTTAACTGTGTATTCAAATATGATCCAAAGGTATCATGTGAGATGATTATACCAGCTAAGTCATGGCTTAAGAGCACCATTCGTCTTTCTACTGGATTGGATGTACTTTGGTGTAGTGCATAGCATGCCATGATAATAGTATCAAGATCATACTTAATAAAGTGATCTACCATTATCTGAACTGTTTTTCTATAGCATGGATTCTTATCAAGTCCACCATCACTTATCATTTATCGGGAAAATAAATATGGTGCAGATCTGCGACCCTGGAAATTTTTAACAAATTTCACAATATTTCGTGATCTATCAATCAGACCTTAACAAATCTGGTACCATTCGAACTGTCTTGAAAGACAGATCGAATAGTACTAAATTCATTAAAATTCAATTACTGGATCATGAGATAATCATATTTAAATAAAATTTGAAGCCACCTCACGATCTTGTTAACCAGTGGTCCAAATTTAATGATTTTGGTACTATTTGATTCCTCTTGATGAGACGGTTCGAATAGTACCAAAACGTTAAAATTGAATTACTGGTTAGCAAGATATTTGCAAAATACGTTTCACAGTGCAGTTTGCACAGATCTGCAAATTTTTTTGTGCAGATCTGCACAAAACTGCACTGCGAAACATATTTTGTAAATATTTCACTAACCAGTAATTCGATTTTAACGTTTTTGGTACCATTTGAACCGTCTCATCGAGAGGAATCGAATGGTACCAAAATCATTAAATTTTGACCACTGGTTAACAAGATCGTGAGGTGGCTCCAAATTTTATTTAAATACAATTATCTCATAATCCAGTAATCGAATTGTAATGAATTTAGTACCATTCGATCCGTCTCATTGAGACGGATCGAATGGTACTAGATTCGTTAAGTTCCGATCGATATATCACGAGATATCATAAAATTTGCTAAAAATTTCCAGAGTCGCAGATCTGCACCATATTTAGTTTCCTAATATTACCATTACAGGTTTAGGCTAGCTATCTGTCATAGTAAAGGTGTGTAATTTTTCCTCAACCATCAGGTCATTGAAGTCTTTGTCATGAAAGTAAGCGATACTACTATCATGTTTGCTACTATGAATTCTTATAAACGTTGGACCTGAATATGTTACTGCTTCAGTTTGTTCATATTTACCTTCTTGTATATCTAATACTGCATAAACCAAAGAGATTAGTTTATGCCTTTTGGCAACAACCCAATTATGATCTGGCAGTTCTACTCGATATTTCAACTTCATAAAAATTAGTGCTATATAAATTAATTAATTATTATTACCGTACAAGTGCAAAATAATGCCTATCTGTGCATTAATTAATTGACCTGCACATTATTTCAAGTATGCACATATACATTATTTCGAAACAAGAATTAAATTTGTGTTTCAACTTTTATTTATAATAAGAATAAAAAAGTGCTCTGGAACTGGGTTTGATATTAAGTAAACCTATTTCTTGGCTTTAGTAAAAGTTGTTTTAAAGTTTCGCAACATTTGTTTATATTTGTAAACAAAGATAAACAACTGCTACAAAAATTTAAAGAGGCATTGTGGGCAAACTACTAGACTGTTTTTAATGATTTTACTACTGTTAGAATCGTCTCGATCTGAAAAATGACTTTTGTTAAAATAAAAAAATAGATTTACTTAATATCAACCCAGTTTCAAAACATCTTTTACTCATTTATCTTTTTATATTTATTTATAGAAATGCGCGTTAATTTGGGACGCCCTATAGGCGTTAATTTGAAACCACATATACTATTTTAGGGATATCTAATTTTCGGATTAACACCCCTGGGCATTATTTTGTGCTTATTAGGTAGTAAGTTTTATTTTTTTATTATTTTAAATAGTAATTTTAAATTATAGCAACCTTGTTTGTTGGCCGCAGCTAAACTGAGAGGTATTTGTGCTTTATCATCTTGAGATATTACTAAAGCATTTTTGGGACCCAATAACATCAGGAAAATTAAATAAGTGCAAATTTGCAAAAATCTGTATTTTTGCAGATTTTTAAAGAATTGTTATAAAAAATATGCAAAATTTTTTAGAATTTAAAGTTTTGCACAGAATTGCATTTAATTTCTGCATTTATAGTATAAAATTTGAAGTTTTGTGCAGATTTTCATTTGATTTATTATTTGATTTTTTTGCAAATCTGTGCAGAACTGTAATAAAAAAAAATTTCTGATAAATGATACTATTTCTTTTATATTTCTTATTAAAGCAGCACAGAAATAGATATTATCGTGGCTTCTTTTGCTAAATTTTGAGACTTTAAAAGCTTCACTAGTACCATTTTAACATGTCGCTTTCTTTTTTCACTATTATGCTGTTTTGGAATTAGCCTAAGATATGACAATTTATAGTTCATATTCATTAATGCTTCTTGGAGCTGGTCTAAGGTCTTCATGGATCATATTAATTCTAAATGCTGTCTATCATCAGCCTGTCTATCTGAAGAAACAATTTGAACAATAGCTTCCAATAAACCTGGCTGTATTTTTTCTAAGCTTGGATAACCAACTGTTGGCCTAACAAGCTGCATATCGAAACTGGCTTTTTTAAGCTGCTTTTCCATTTGCTGAAGCTTCTGCCTTTTCTGAGATCTATACTTTTGTTGAAACCATTGGTGGTATTCTAATTTATTCAAAACTTTTATCAACAATACAAGTTCATTTTAAATATTTGTTTTTTTTCTTTATCAATACTAAAAATTATTCCTCTATTTTCTAATACTTCAAACCACTTTTACTTCCAATTTAATTGAGAAATTGTGTCTTTGAGCTTAGACTGAGCTAGCACCTCTCAAATTTTAACTATTTGGTTCATAATTATAAATTGATGACTAGATTTAAGGTAAGAATCTTACAAATACAAAAATATAAATGAGTTTTTACTTTATCTATACGCTAATTCTTATTTTTTTTAGTAAATTGTTTTTAATTACACTGAATAGAGATATCCCTTAAGCTGTAGAGTTCGTGTAACAATTTTAGCTTAAAAATAGCATAAATTTAGTTATGATCTATTTTTTT